ATTTAATAAGACTAAGCGAGATGAATCATTCACAAGATGACTGGAACCGATGAATAAAATTCTGGTCTTCGGATGGGTGATTAACAAATTGGTTAATATAGTAGAGTGCTGGATCGTGAAGCTTCTTCGACTCAGCTGTTGCTGGTAGTTCGAGCGGATAATAAATACTATTCTCTTTCACTCAATTACCTCAAATTTCGTTTATTAAACCCTATATACAGCAAAACACATCAGCGCAAAGAGAAGTATGTAAAATCGTCTTCACCTTACTTCTCCCACACCCAGAACCCCGAACCTTCCCGCTTCTAATCTTACTAGCAAGAAAAGCCCTGAGCCACATTCAGAGGAAGGGAAAGTGCCGAGAGTGGGGAGGGGAGGGATGTAAGCAGAAAAGAGGGACGGCTGAGGAGCGGGGACAATAGAGAGGGGCCAAAAAGGAGGTGAGGAAAGCCAGGAATGGGACCGGATGCAGGGAAGGCGGACGAGGCGGAAACAAAAGCAGAGAAGCTGTCTCGGACATACATTGGAACAGCGGCGTTCCAACGGACTCCGTCATTCGATGAGGAAGCCGCCGTGCGGATCCGATATGAGGTCGATAGTGACACTATGCTGTAGAATTCCTGTACAGAAGCAGAAGGCGATGCTGGGAATATGTTCTTTTCGGCCTTCCTTTTTAAAGGAGGAGCCTAAATTTATTGTTTGCTTTGTTTTGGGAGGTGGCGAGGCCATCCAAGTAGTATGGTAAAAGGGACCGCATCGGTGAAGGGAAACTGGAGATTTGGGACTGAGGTCATAACTGCTTAATGGGCAGGACCCCATCGATTTGAATTTTACACCTTGTCGAAACATACAGGGAAGGAAGGGCGCAGGGTTGGGGGAAAGATAATTTGTAAACAAAAATAAAGAATGGGAATGTAATCTCTATTTACAACAATAACTGTGTTCCGAAATGTAAGTAATAAGTATTAATAGCAGCATTCTGTGTGGATGGTGCCAAAGGCGATACCATTCACCAACAGTTCAACCAAAAACGGCAACCTGTTGAAATAATGCAGGATAAAAAAGCTGAGGGTCATTGCTCTTATAATGTGCAAATTCGTGAAACTGGCACCGAAATAACAGAGAGGAATGATAAATGACGGTAGTTCCTGCAGTAGCCAGGCCCACTTCGCTGCCACTATTGGTAGCTGGAAAAAGAAAAAAACGTTAAAAAACTCAAATTCCATTAAAACATTTCTGCTGGAAACAGTGCAAACATCGAAAGCTCCGATGTACCTTGAATTCCTGAAACACACTACAGTTCTCAGGAAACGTTGCAGGATCCTGAATTGGTGGAAAGAGAGCAATCTGACTTACAAGGCACATCATACCGTAAATTTCCTTATACTGTAAACTTCGAGTGCCAGAAAACCAAGTTCCAATCGCGGAACA